ACCTTCTGTGTATAGGACGCAAGCAAATTTTGACATCAAATGTTGGGGTAAAAAAAGTGAGTCTTATACACCGAAAAATACGGTAATTACTTGCATTATCGTTAAGTGGCCTGGATTTTGCAATATTTTCCCCCAATAATAAAAAAAGAGCCCGTCCAACGATACAAACCATTAATATAATATAATATATATGAATAGTTTTAGTCTCTTTGGTTCCGTTGCGACAGCTATAATATAATTGTTGTTTGACTACTTAAGTTATAATATTTACGTTACTTCTGCCGTGTTTAGTTCCGTCATTCATTTCCTGATGCCAATTGTTTTAAAAAAATGAAATACGTAATACTTACTAACAGTACTGTCGTGTGGGAAATTAATGTTACACGGTGTTTAATTAGATAATCAAGGCAAACAGAATTTACTTCTATTAAGATAACATCAATTACAAAATATACTAAAATATTTTAATTGGTATTTCTGTAATTTCATCAGGCTAAATGAAAATTATTTATGTTTTAGATACGACTAGCGGCACCAAAAATATAAAAAGACTCGACTCACGAAACGTATTAGTTTTTCACGCAGTTCTGATGTCCAACCAAAGTGGTTTTGCACATCCCACTTTTAACCAACACTCACGTTTATGCATATGTACAGTAACAGCGTTAAAACCTAATTAAACTAACTACTAACCTGTCGTCTGAAATGGAACGATAGTTATTCTACCGTAACAAAAAAAGAAGAAATATTATGATATATAGCAACTGAATACTGCTTCAGGAAAAAATTGCACGAACAAGCCACACCTTAAAAACTTCAAAGAATTTAACTAGCAATGCTAATTAACCCCAAATAAAGCTGGAAAGATTGTTCAAAACGACCCGAGGCAGTACTTAGAATAGAAGAGCCTATATTACGTTAGGTGGCGTTACGCCTGTGTTTTAATGACTAATCAAAGATGTCAGTGCTTGTCTAATGCGTAATTTGTATCTTTTACCCTGTAATTACTAGTTCCTAAGTTGAAAGGGCGACAGTAAACAACTTCAGTTTTAAAAGCGAAGTTAAACGCTAATGATGCAAGTTTAAAATTCATATTTAGGTTTAAGAATAAACTGCTAACTGTCCTTACTCAGTAAAATCGTGAGACATAGATACAGCGAACATAAACTTTAAACATTTTCATAAATAATATATGTTTTATTAAAAAAAACTTTTAAGCATACAAACACTAAATTATTAAAATTCACGTGCATCGTAAGTATTTATCCAAGTCTTGATGCCCCCCGGTGGCACAGCGACATGTCTGCGGACTTACAACGCTAGAATTCTGGTTTCGATACCCGTTGTGGGCATATAGCCCATTGTGTTGCTTTGTGCTTAACTTCAAACAAACAAACAAATGAAGTCTTAATAACCAATCGGGTTCAACAGAAATTCATAAAAAAATCACAAAAAGAAAAAAGCTACAGAGTTCATTCCCCGATGGGTCAGTGGTTCGTTTCTGGTTTAGAACGCAAAAACCCAAGACTCGATTCGAACACAGAAAACCTATTGCCTAGCTTTGCGCTAAAACAACACACACCTGGTGAACGATACCGATGTTAATACGGTAACCGTTTTGATACTGGTATGGAGAGTACCGCCTACTTTTGTTAGAGGTACGAATACATGATTAACTGAAGTAAATCTGATTAGCAGATAATAATGGTATTATTACTGAAACTACAGAAAAAATTCCATGTAATTCGTTCTTGGGTATCATTAGAAGCGATGACTTACAAAGGGTTAACTTTTTTTTATGATAAATTAAATACGATAGCATAGGACGTGTTGCCGCAAGTGTGAGTTTTGGCGCCACAAGCGACATGTTCAGCATTTATATACTTGTTTGATTGTTGAGTTTCGGGCAAAGCTACTCGAGGACTATCTGCGCTAGCCTCCCTAATTTAGAAGTGATAGACTAGAGGTTGTCAACACCAACCACCGCCAACTCATAGGCTACTCTTTTACCAACAAAAAGGTTGGATTGGCCTTCACACATTATAACATCCCCACGGTTAGACAAGCATGTTAAGTAACGGGATTCAAACCCGCGACCTACATAT